TGACCATGTTGCGAAAACAAGGTCAAACAACTTCTATACAACGAAAGGAGACTGCGACCACACAAAAGGATACACAATCTTGGTCTTCATACCTTCAAAAAGGCTATGTTTCTGCAATTTGGTCGTCTCGTCAGAGCGACCTCTATCATTTGACAGATGACTAGGCACATTCCCAGAAGTTTGGCCGAAAGTGTAGCCAAATGCTAGAGATGAAAATGACTAAAAAGAAAAAGGATGCAAAGGTCGTATACGCAAAATAGGTCAAGTTGAGCAAATTAGGCCAAAGTGAGTTTTTTGATATATGCGATGAAAAATTGGGTTTAGATGAATTTCATGGTTCGTAAATATTAAGCTCACTTTCATTTCGAGTTAAAGTGGGCCTGACCGAGAGATTTGATAAGTCGAAGTCGGATTCATTTTGACCATCTGTCGGTTGATACTCTTCTAAAACATTCTCAATGACGCTGTCCCCGAGACCATCTTCTTCTGCGTGAGTGACATCATCAGAGCAGAAAATCATTTGTACAACCTTGTGCTTCAAGACTGGCAATTGACTCAAAGTCACAAGATCTCTAAAATAGTTTCCTTGACTTGTTAGCTTGAATGCGGTTGTATGCATGATACCCTTCTCTGATGATGTCTGCGACATTTGACAGACAAACACTTATCACGTTTTCACCGAAATCGAATGTGAATCCCTCGGAGACAACGTAAACAAGAATGGTACAGAAAAACCAATTGACACTCGGTCAAAAGGAAATTGAAGTGAGTTCAAAGTGACCAGAAGACGACGGCAGATTCTTCTTGACGAAATCCTGATCAACAGTGCAGACAGTTTGATCCAAGTTCGTCAACGTGCTCATTTGCACCGTTAGGTTAGGGCCTTCTGAAGATCATGTTCTCGACGAAACTGGGCCTCGATTGGCTGAACGCCACGACCTTCTGGCTAAGTTGGTCGGTCGCATAGCGACGGACTGCAAAATAGTATCTGCGGGCTCGTGGAATGGGCCAGCACCAATCGAGTGTCCCGAAATGGTCCCCTGACCCACTAACGCACAAACAGGCCAATGGATAAGCGATATTGCAGACATGCCCATTAGTATTCGTCGTCAGCATGTCGGGTCGAGTGGAAGTCATGATCCAGCCCGAGCGATGAGACTGCATGTAACTGACACGCCTTGGAGGGGTGGGCGAGTCAAGGGTACAGCTCGCAAATGGGCCCGCTTGTCAGAAAAACGGAGTTATGGTACCGACAAGGTCGCCAGGCCCTCTGAACGAGCCTGGACTGGGGTTCGGAGACCAGCTTTTAAGTTTTTGCCCAGACAGTGCAACTGCGTTGCGATAACCTACTCCTCTTTTGGGGCAGTGTTGGTGTGTTTGTGGGCAAACAAACGGCAGATAACACTAATTGATAGAAAGATACCATCAAACGGACATATACAGATATAAATACAGACAGACAGACAGAGAGACAGACAGACAGGTCAACTAAGGGGACGGAGAAACAGATGCACAGGCTGATGGATAGACAGGCAATGACTAACGCATAAAAGGGCAAAGGTTTCGATAGGGACGGTCACTAAACGATGCACAGACAAAAAGATAGACATACAAGCAGATACTGTTAATACGACTGACAGATGGTTGAATTATATAAAATAGTAAGTAATCGCGAATACGCACCTATAGATGGATAATTAGACAAACAGACAATCAAGCCAAAGGAGGGAAATGGACAGACTTACAAACAGACACATGTTAAGAGGGAAATATAGTAATATAGAATGTGTATGGAATGTATGGGTTGAATGGGTGGCTGGCATACAAAGAGAGAATGAAATGATGATGTTGACGCGGAAAAATGAATAAATCAGACAGACAGACAGAATGAATGAATGAGTGATGGTCACTAATGCATGAGGGCGTACACAGACCAGCGGATCCATGCAGAAAGAATCAGCTGTTTTCGTGGGAGAATGGATAGAAGGGCGGTAATGTGTGCAAATGGGAAAGTCGGCAGGTCTAAGGAAGTTTAGACATGCAAGTATGCGAGCATATCTGATGAAGAATGACAAAAGTTGAAGAGAATAGATCACGGCGAAGTCAAGAGATCGAAATGTAAAAATATATGAAAATGATTCATCAATTGGCTGTTTTGGTATTTCTTTGCCCACCGACACGTAAGTACTATGAGAGAACTGGTGTGGAGTGGAGTGGAGTGGAGTGGAGCGGAGTGGAGTGGAGGCAGACAGTTTGTGGCCGTGTTAAGACAGGCGGTGTTTGATATCGCCTGCAAGCCAAAGGCAAAGTGAAGAATGGCTCAAACAGTTCGAGCGCAGCCGAGGCATCCAGTTTGTGAAGAGGTGGACGAAGAGAAGTGAGCCAGGCCTGAGGAAAGAGAGGGGAGGCCGGAACAGCTGAAAAGCGAGACAACCAAACGAATGGATAGAGGGCAAAAGGTTTTACGGCCAATTGTACACTTGGGGCATAGGAAGACGGCACAGAGTGATACTCAATTCGAGTCTGGGATGGGCATTTTTGCACATCATCCATAACTCACAGCATCAAGCGTTCTGCCTCAGTGGACTTGAAAGAGAGACAATAATGCGATTCTCAGGACAAAAGTTAGCCTAAAAAGTGTATTCAACATGCAACAGTGGAAGGATGATTTGACAAGTGGCAATGCAGATTTGAAGTCGGCCAAATCTGGCCACATCAACCATGAAACTGGCACGGCGAAATGAAAAACTGGCGTGTCCGCTCAGATCGCGTGTGGACAAGACGTTGAGTAATAAGAAATTAGGGAATTTATGAGGCTCTCTGAGAAAAAGATTAGTGGGAACAGATTAAATGCTGTTTTCACGTTTTTAAGAACAGAGTAAGTATGAAGAAATAAAAAGATAATCGTAAAAACGCTAAAGGGAAGAAAGAAAAAAATAAAGAAAGTAAGAGAGTGAAGGAGAAAATGATGAAAAAAGGAAGAAGCATGAGAAGAAAGGAGGAAACGGAAAAAAGGTACCAAAAAGCAGATATAGAGTGAAAGGAAAGTCGAAAGGTTGGAATAATGGAAGAAAAATAATAGACCAACAAGCAAATTTCCATTTCGAGTGAAAA